TGAAAAATAATTGTTGCTTTTTAAAAGTTTTCCAGCATGGTGGAAAGTATAAAAACCGCATGTCCTGCTTTTTAACTTAGCATCGACCCTCTTTCAAAATTCATTGCATGGTAACACAAATACACTCGTCACGACAGAAAACTATTACTGATGTGTTACATGCACTTAACAGCTTGCAATGAACTTGGTTTTGTAAATGATTACTTGCTTCACAGGTTTCCTGCTGTGAACCATTCAGAACTTGAGATGGCAAAATGTTAGTCGTACAAGACCGCAATGAGCAACAAAAATCACAGAAGGAGTTACGTGTTTAACAAATGTTTTAATTTAGTCCGCAAAATATAATGAACACCATAGAAAATTACTTTTTTGACTTACTGTATTCATTGTAACCCAGCCCTATTGTATTTTGGACGGCATATCACTCGGTAACTTAGTGTTATTCATGGGGTACAAATGCAGGCTTTAATTGTCCCTATTATCACTATCTATAAACTGTCCCATAACGGTTACCTTCAACTCAAGTACTAGTCCGAAGAGGCTTGTGACTCAGTTATTTCAAAGCAAACAATTCTCAATCAACGTTAAGCATTTTACAATGACTTAAAATCTCTTTCGTTGGCGTATGATACCTGCTCAAATTATTTTGAAGTAACACTGAGAATTAGGTGCGAAAATACTGACATTATGGAACTGAATATCCTATAATGAAAAAGGAAATGAATTTCGACATCATAGTTTTGCAACCAGTTTGTCACGCCACTTACACAGCATTCAAGTTCGTAACAGGTCAATTTTAGTGCAAGCGCACTAAGTTGTTTTCACCAGGTAAAAATTTACCAGACGTAAAATACAAAAAGGCCGTTAAAAATAGAGATCAAAAATTCGTCGAACAAAATGTACAAGGAGATTCTTGTAGCGCAATAAACGGCACCGATATGCATGTTAGCTAAGGAGATAAGAGGGGAACCGTTGACGAGGGAGATAGATGACATGCGGACAAGCAGTCGGATAGTACACATCGTGTAATAGCCTACGTACGATAGGCGGACATGGGTTCTGAAACTATTTTGCACATCACACAGTAGACAGACCAGTGAAGTCTCCGGATCGCTATATGGGTTGCGTATGGTACATCAGGTGTCACTTTTGGGCTGCTAAGCTGCTCAGTTGAGTTTTTTTCGTGAACTTTGCACATGTGGTTGACTGATTTCATTGCTGACGATAAAATAGTCCTGAAATCTTATTCATTATTTGTTGTATAGATGTCCTGTTGACAGGACAGTTATAACTTGCATATTTTCGAGAGTCAACCTATTAAGCTGTCCATGTCCGCAACCACATTAATAACTGGGTTTACACGTCGTATTTTGTATCTAAGCGCGGTTCTACCTCTTGGGAATGTCTTCAGAACGATGCAACACGTCGTGTCCTGATTCCGTCATACAAGAGGATTTGTGACTCAGCTTTACCCATCAAAGGAATTACAAGTCAGAGATTATTCTGAAATCTAGTCACATATTCATCATAGTCTTCAAGTCTACACGGCTGTAATTGACGGTTCACAACCGTCAAAATAATTTCCACTGTGTAATCAGGATTTGGATAGGCTCAAACATTTTGTTATGTGGTTTGTTATTTACTTGTATGTGATACGCTGTTACTTACTCCAAGTTAATATACGCGTATTTTTTATGGGCGTCATTACCTTCTGATTCTAAGTAACTTTTGTGCCAGTAATGCCACTTCTACAATCTAAAGGAAATCAGCATAGGTGAAGGACATAACTTACTTCAGTTTGGTTGAGAGCGGCTTCTGACCCTGAAATTACTATATTCTTTTTGGCTTGTGAGATAGACTTCTAAGAGTTTATGACATGGAAGTTCTCCTAAAACTGCTGATGGCAGGCTACAATTTGTACAATCACAAATAACGCATGCATGTTAAGCTGTTCACCGGCTGGGGCTAGTTTTGCCGCATTCTGTTTAGGCGTACACGTTGCACATATATCTGGTTTGTCTGATAAAACTGGCCCATGGTTCTCAGGTTATACCCATGTCACAAATTACACACGAGTAAACTTGTTAATTCAGGAACGGTTAAAGGATTTGTTAGCAGTCATATTCTAGATATTCTCGTTCGAACTTTTTGTCAGCATAATTTGTCCACATGCTATGAACTGGTATCAGATGGAGAATAAACAAGAAAACGGTTTCTTTATTACCAGACCTATGTTAGTGGATGTTTAAACCTCTCCTAAAAAATAGGTGCAACTGGTAGGGTCGGTTCGTACGCGAAATTTGGCAATTTATTTAGCCAAAGCATTCCGACTAATTAAGGTGTCCTTGTAGATATGGAACTAGTGAGTTCAACTGATTTTCGTTAATCTATTCCCCTGTTTTCTCACTCCCCTTCCTTGTAAGGAAATAAACAAGGTTCTACCAATTTTTCCTGATATGTGATTGGAATAAATCAAGGAAATTTGACCAATAAAACGGTGGATTTTTGACCATGATGAAATTTTGGTGAAATTTTTATTACTAAGGGTTATATCCTAGTGCAAATGTATGCGCGTTTCAGCTGTATCACCTGATATTGATTAATTCCTGCTAACTTATCACGCCATGTATATACCTTTATGGCATAATACCTTTCACTGTGTAAAATACGGATGGTTGATCTAGAGATTTTAAACGGTCCAATTCACGTAACAAGGCCAGGTCTAGACTACCTTCCGAGCCAGGACTGCCAAAATTAGATAAAATGTGAAAATTCTTGAAATCCATTTCTCTACAGTGCGTAAACCCTTAACCCTACAACTTTTTACCGATACGTAACATTCATTGAAAGTAAGACCTGTATTTGTGAGCACATTCTCGATCAAACTCCATATTTCCATAAGTTAGTGGCTCGATCTTCAAAATTGGCGCATACTTCATCGATTGATTCATTATGGTTAGTGATGTGCGGAAGTTAGTTTCTGGCTAAACTATTGTCTTACTGATGTAAGGTTACTCTAATAAGCTGAAATGCACTTACAGCCTACCGCTGATACGATAATTCACATTCAACAATTCGGGCTCATCCTGAAGTGGAGGCAGTCAGATGACGTGGTTGTGATTCACGAACCAAATGTTTAATTCTAGGGTGGCAGCTTCAAGCAGGGAGGAAAACGCAGGCGAATGGTTAACATCGGTCGCTGCTAACTGCGTGAAAATGGTGAGGGACGACGTCTAGAACAACCCAAGTTTAACAAACAGTTGTCACAAACATAAAACGACGTAGAGTAGGAATGAGCTGTTAAGTTGGGATGTTTCCATCCACTATGAACACTATACAGCCACCGCCGACCAGTATCTTTAGTTCGTAAAATGTGGGACGAAACCGGAATACAGTGCTGTCGTGATATACGTTCTCTACAGTTTTGTCCAATCTATCTGTCAAGGCAAGGAACCACGGTCTACAGTCACTATTATTTCAGGTCCCCCCCTTTGCACTGTGTAGGTTTTGACAGAGATTTCCTTCGTGGCTCCAGTCGAATGTAAGTTTCGGCCTCTGTTATTGGTGACACACATGCATATATTTTCTCCCTTCAGGGATTATCTCATCGAAATTGTACAAAACAAGTTGTGGTTAGTCTTATTACCCTGGCAAATAAACTTGGTATTCGCACAGCAATGCAAAAATCAACAAACAGAGTGCAACCAAACCTCTCTTTTATCAGTCGGGTTCATGCCAACATGAATTCGGCACAGCTTCTTCATGGTGAAGAAACACTCACTTAAATGTCTTTCATACTTCCTCCTGAAATTTCGTTTTTGCATACATTTTCCAAACTACGATGGTTGCTGTCGAGTTTATAAAGATCCAGTGCAATATCTTGTTAATTTCTGTCATCGCAAATTTAGTAGCAAATTTAGTACCTGATGCAGTCCACTTGTGGCTGTCTATACGCAATTTTACAATTGACTTTCTTTGGACTAGCTACCACGCACTAGTCACTACTTCATTCGAAAGCTCCATCAATACGTCTGTGCGTGCCGAGGCTGAACGGGATATCTCTGCCTCTCACACCAATGACTGATCTAGCAACATCAAACCGTGTTTACGAAACCAGCGGGCTGCAACAGTGTTGTAGACTATGAGGCGATTGATGGCGTTCACTGGTTTATGCTCTTCGTCCCCTATAAATTGAACAATATAACCCGAGTGAGTCATACAGCAGCTTTGACAAGTCTGTCATGATGACTAATGTGCGCGATCTAAATCACAAAGGCCGAAAAAGTCGACCTTGTTATGCCAATCATAAACCACTTTTTTAACCTGAAAATGCAGTAGACAAATACTACTACCTCGAACAGAAAGGCTTTTACACAAACGACCTTTACTTATGCCCAAAGAAGGCTAAAGGCACAGAAAACTATCCACACTCACCTCTTAACCAACTACTGACTGTGTATGGCAACCACAACAATAACGACTACAAGTCGAATCGCAATCCCAAACCAGAAGGCGCACTTCCGCTGAAGTCACAAAATGTTAAGCTTCCTCACCGACTAACCAATTTAGGAATATGAACATGTCCAAAGTGTTGACGTACTTCTTCCCACGAGCACTGGTGAAGTTCACCACAGGGAAAATACATTGTGAACTGAATGACTAAGTGTAGACTTTCCTTGCGAAATTATTTGTATCAACTATTGGCTAACAGTGCGATCGATTGAAGCGGTTTAATGTAATCTGTGGTCACATCGTTCAGTGGTCATGAGTAGAATGAAATGTTAGTTCCAGATTGTTCACACAATTTGAACAACAAGTATACATTCCAAGAGGTCAGTACCGAGGCTTGTGTGTGTACCCCACCGCCATCCGTTACGTTGTGATGTTCAAGTAATTGGTGGTCTGCTAAAATGGCTGACAACTAGAAACCGATTATGCACATGTCTAAATTGATAAATTGATAACTCGATTGATATAGGAGACCCAATTGCGAAAAGCTTGGACTTCGGCTGGATGCGAACCATCGACATAAACAACATGCCCAAAAACCGCAAACACTCTACCACCTGAGCTACGAAGCCATGCCGGAAGCTCAGAAATTTCACGCTTAGACCTAATTACCAACCCAACCAACTGTGTCATATGAAATCTCCCGATCGACTGCCAGCCGAGGTCCAGATTTTTCGCAATTGGCTCTTTCCAAAATCTTCACGCCAATTATCTGCCAAACTACTCATCAGTAACTGAATGTCTATGCTCATCGGTGGCGTTGGTAGATTTCAGTGTGACTGCTTCAATGGTCAATCGGCTGGATCATTTGGTGGATTCCGTATGACCAAGTTTGTTAGGTGGGTAATTAGGTCCAAATGTTAAATTTCTGAGCTTCCGGTGTGGCTTCATAGCTTAGCTGGCGGACCATTTGCCGCTTTTGAGTATGTTGTTCCTGTCGCTGGTTTGGAAGCAGCCGAAGTCCAGATTTTTCGCAGTTGGCTCTCTTCTAAATTATCAAATCTACCAAACTACTCATCAGTAACTGAATCGATTAATTAATTTATTAGTTGGTCAAGCAAAATCCACGTTTTTTAACTATCATCTATGATTTTGTACAAGAATGGTCCCTAATAATCTGTCGGCAACCACAACCAGTGGATTCTCCATGAGATGATAATCTCCGCTTTGTAATGAGTATGTAGTGTATACGGGTGACGGAACAGATGTAATTGACCACGTTAAAATACATCGGCAACTAGTAACCCCTGTCTGGTTTATCGAGTCGCAGTTACACTTTGATGCCTTTACTGGGAATCAATGACGGATCACTGATTGTATTTGTCTTCCGCTAATCCGGTTTTTCATGGATCAGTTGGCTGAAAATGTAAGATCACTTTGACCGTCTCAGTGAAAACCTTTCAGGGCTGCTTTCGCGGGAGTACATTTCATTTATCCATGTCAGTCCCAAATGCGAAACAGTGACATCTATACGTGTGTATGTGTCACCATCCGTGTCCAACATGAGAAGAAACCATGTTTCACACATTGCCAACTCACTCAGTTTGCTGTTACCTGAACAAAATGTTAAACCGGTGGCGTTTCCCGAAATAGCATTGTGTGACAATCACCGTCTAATATGTATAGATTACAAATCAGATACATTTGTTCACGCAAGATCTGATGAGTCTATTCGTTTTGGAATTAACACTTATGACAACGGTCACTGTTGTGGTTGCTGCCATCATGTGAGAATCATTCAGCTGTTTTACGTTCTTATTTTAAGATTGTTAATACATATTCAGATATTTTATGCCACTTAAAGCGGAAGATATAGACAACATTCGGTTATATGACATACAGTGTGTACAGTACAGGTTATGGTGAGTTAACATGCGTACAGTGTAAATATTTCGCGCACATAAATCACACGTATTTATCGTATGTGAATTCAACTGGTTTTGGGTAAGTAGTCATATATGAACCGATAGAACACAGTATTAGGCAACATCAACTCTATTGCTGTCAGCATAGCCTTCGGCAGAGTGTTCAGGTGGCGTCACTCTGTTAAGGGCTGTCGTGCCTTTTGGAGCAACCATGCTGTTGTGCGTGCCCGTTTCGTTCTATCATTTGCCCAGAGAACCTACTCTTGTAAATGCAAGATACTTAACTGGCATTCGAGCGATGAGGGTGTAAAGAACGCTTACCAGAAGGCGTTGGTGAACAAGTTGCCCAGTTCGAGTCAGGTGAGAGATCTGTAGTGAGATCACCTTCGACGTCCCTAAAATCCTAAACTCCCTTTGGCGTGATAGTTGCCTTGTCAGTACCACCGCGTCAGTTCACAATACCTCGCGAATGTAAATTTACTACAAACCACTAACATCAAGGTTAGTGTGTTG